ACCAGCTAAAGGCTCGGATAGAAACTACCCAGCTCACGACAAGGATTTTTTGCGATAAAGTATACACTTGTCAAGTTTAGGGTGCACCTGCTCGGCTCAAAGCCGTTTGTGATCTACACAGATCATGGGTCATTACGCACTGCGACTCAGTCGCCTCACTCTCGCAGAGGATGGCCAGGTGGCTCTTATTCATTGCAGAATATAACTTTGAGGTGAAGTACTAGCCAGTAAAGCAGAATGTTCTGGCTGATGCGTTGTCACGCAGACCGGAATATGGGCTTGCTCATATCACGACGGTGAAGTTGTCAGTGACTGATTTGATCCGCGCCGCATACGCGGGTGATATTATGTGTGTAGAGCTGCTACAGGCTTTTTGGAGCAAGGATTTTGGAAACTCGGACAAGAAATTGTCGGCGCGCTTGCGCGCACGGTTTCGCCAATAGTCGTTGAGCAACGGGTGGCTGTATTATAGTAACGATTCGAAAGATACGCCACGAATTGTGGTTCCTCGCGATGAGGGTTAGAAATTCCGTATCTTCTATGAGGCCCACGACACCTCATTCAGTGATCTTCTCGGGCGTGAGAAGACGTACAGCTCGGTGAGTTGCCACTATTGGTGGCCTAAGCTGTACAAATAGACGAGCACATATGCTCGCACGTGTGGGACGCGTCAAGCGGTGAGGACCTATCCGAATGCGGCAGCGCCGCAGGACCATCTGGGTGTTGGCAGTCCACAAACATGGACTTTGTGTTTGGCCTGCCGAAGGACCCAACAGGCAACTCGGGTGTGGTGGTCTTTGTGAGCCGTTTGAGTAAGATGGCTCATCTTGCTGCCAGCGCAGGCGCTGCGAAGGACGTCTTTAACGACGCGATTAACACGCTCAGTTTGACCATCGATCTGTGGATGGCCCGCTGTTGACATAGTCACTTTGGTGCACAGCGCTCGAAGATTGTAGACCAAAACTTCCCAGTGAAATGCGCATCCACAAACCGCGTCGCTGTACTCACACCGATGATGGTGTCCGGCACTTGACTCCGAAGCGCTGTAGATCCATGCTGCCACCGTCGGAATTTGCTCTAAACAATGCAGTCTATGCGTCTGCCGGCTACACGTCATTCTACGTGGAGGCCCACAGGGACCCTCGGCACAGTGACACAGGTCCCCGTCGCTAAGCGAACAGTGACGATGTCACTCAACCTCAATTTCAGCACCTCAGCATACAGCTGACTTTGATCGATCGTGGAGCGCCGAGCATAATTGCCAGACACCCCGGAATTGATTAGGATCTTCCGTAGTTTCTCAAAGCCCTTCACGATCGCTTTTACGACCAGCAAACCCGGCTTGCTTACACGTTTATGTGTTCAAGAGCACGGTGCCCTTCGAGACTGGGCACTGCTCCCCTCTACCTCTTTGAA